ATACAGAATTGGGAAAGTACATAACTGTAACTTTGCATGGAGGGATGTCTAGTTCTAAGAAGCAAAACCCGCCCTTGAATGCTGAAATGTAAGACTGGAACATGCAGGACATTTCTCATTGCTGTGCATGGAAACAGGCCCCTGTCCTTTGCAGACACCTTTGCAGATAACTGCAGAAGGCACCTGGAGCAGAAACAGTCTTAGGTGAGGAACGACTAGCTGAACTATTCTCTGAAAACACGATCTCTTTTTGAGACTTTGACCCAACTGAACACTTGTCCCCGGGGTATGTAACCCTGGGCGGCTGCCTCTTGGGATCCTTCAGCTGTGACAAGTGTGACACAGGATTCTATTTGTCTCAGGCATCTTTCCTGAGCTGCAGGGTATCAGCTCAAAATGAATGCTGCTTCTTTTGTGTCTTGCTGTCCATTCACAAGCAATAAGCCGCTTCATTTAACATTGTGAGTGTGCTCTGTTTCACTGGACACAGATAAGTGTGTACCCAGGTATGCGCTCTGGGACAGGCCCAGCATAATGAGGACAGGGCTCCTATCTCTTCTTAAAATCAGGCAGGAATTGGGCTGGTGGTGTCTGCCTGTAATATAGCACACGTTGGAGGTTGAAACAAGATGGCTCTGAGCTCTAAAATAGCCTCAGCCACTTGCTGAGATCCTATCTCAAAATGACAACAAAAGTCCTCAGGCGCAATACTTAAGGATTTAGTTTTGTTCTCACTTCAAGATATTACTCAACAAACATCATGTCTGCTACTTATTAAAATAAGAAAGTAGTTCTAAAAGTAACATTTAAATGTGTTTTTATTCAACTACGTTTTAAAAGTTTCATTTTCTTGAGTTTCAACTTACATTTTGAAAGATTTTGAGGTATGTAAAACGATCAAATGGTACAAAAACTCTGATACTCGTTAAACACTAGATGAGAAAAAATATAATACAATTAAGGTGAAGAACAGTAGGAACTGGACAGAAAATACTGAACCAATGGTAGAAGAACAGAATACAAAACTCTCCAGTGAGCTGGGAGAGCACACCCTGAGAAATAAAAGGAAGCAACAAACTGACAGGCAGATTAGAGGAACAGCACCATAGATATTGACCATCAGTGAATCTATAATTTCATTTACAGTGAGAATACTCATGCAGCCTGCTGTATTTCATTAAAAACCACTGTGTGTGAAGGGATGGCACATAACCACGAGCAAGGCTGGTGGTGTAAGCAGGGCAGAGACACCCACGGCACTGAGGCACGGGAAGAGATCATCCAAACCCTGCACTCTGATGGACACACAAGCACATGGCACAGTTCACAGAACATAGAAATCTTCTCACAGAAGTGATGGCCGCCAGCATTAAAGATGCTGAGGCAGGGGGATCGTTGTGAGTTTGAGGTCAGCCTGCACTGTAGTGTGGGACCCTCTCTCAAAAGCAGACAGATTAAGCAACTGGAAATATTAAGGTGTGGTGTATTCAAAGGAGATCTTGAGTATTTCCTCTTTCATCTCCTTGTCTGCTAGATATAGCTCCTTCTCATGCTGGGAGACAATACTGCTATACTAATTATGTATAGAGCATAGAACATTAAAGTGAGCGAGGCAAAGGGAGATGCAAGAGCATAAAGCAGAAACCGAGAAACCTGGCACTGGAATGTCCTGCAGTTAGCAGCACTGGTAAATATATGACTAAAACTCTCTATCAAGATTCTTCAAATTGCCAAGGTGCCCGGGCGTTACACTCCACAGGCTAACACTGGAAGTTCACAGCAACTGGCTGCGTGTTTGCATCATCTTCGAATGATGCCCACTTTAAGAGTGTGCTACAGTCAAACATTTGAGCACCTCAGCCTTGATTCACTAAAGCAGAGCACCTGTGAATTTATGGTTCTGTACTTGCTTGGGATATTTTGGGAGTAAATGGCCCCACAATGCAATGACTCACTCAATGCATTACAGTTCTCTTCTCTAACCTTTATGTTTTTCCCTAAGTTGAAAAAGGCAAGTGCAGTCACTCATCCAAAAGGGTTAAGAAAAGTCAAGATAACATTAAAATACTGAGAAAGAAAATGGGTTTCAGGAGAGGAATGTACAATAATATATATGAATTGGAAGGTGAGGAATTCTCATGTTGCATTTAATAAGATTTAGAACAAAATTTAAGCTTCAATCTTAATAAAAATTATCTTTATTTTCACCTTTTCCAAATTGCTCTATGCCTAACACAGCCTGTGACATTAGAGCACTAAGAACATACAGCACTGCCTCTAATCAAGACAAACGGTAAATACAGGATGATGCTCCAAAGGAGCAGTCTGGACACAGGAATGTAGAAGTTAAAAAAAAAAATCATTTGAAGATTTGGGTTATAATACTGAGAAAATTGCCCAGCAGTGTTCCACAAAGATAGTTTATGTTTGTATTTATACCTGTTGAATGGCTGTGTAGGTAAGACAACTGTGTGACAGGATGGGAGAGGGGAATGGAGAAAAGGAGGGGCTTAACATAGACAACTAGGATCCTCCAGTGCCTAACTAATGGGAGAGATAAACACAATTACTAAAACCTGAAGATGGTGAACATGAAAATGCTGAGGCCTCCATTCCAGAGTTCGATTCTCATGAAAACTGAGCAGTGTTCAAAAACCACAAAGGGATTTGAAAAAACCCAGAATCTCCCAGATTTAACAATCCGTTTTCTTTCCCATAGAGCTCAAGGGAAGTAATGGCATGGAAGCCAGGAAAGAGGATTCTAAAGGAGACAGGTAAAGGAGGTCTTCTGGGCCAATGAGGAACAGCTTAAGGCTGCTGCACGTGCCACATGAGCCAGTCAGACAGCACAGGACACAACTGAAAATGGACAGCCAAGAAGGGTGCCATCAGGACAACAAACCAGAAGGAGTTACAACTGATGAGTTAGGGCTAGGAAACAGGGACTAAGCAAGTGGCAAGCAATACTAGGATCTCCATAAGTAAAAGTCATACACAAATGGGAAACAGCTGCATGCAAAGTCTCTTAATGACAATACATATTTATTCAGTCTGGGAGGAAGAGATAAACAACCAGACACAGGTATGTATGGGGGAGGGAGGAGTCACAGAGAAAAAAAAAAAATCAGTATGTAATGGTAGTTGAAAACTCCAAGAAGTGGTCATATAACCACACAATACTACTGCACAGATGCCAATAGCAAAAGAAATAGCTAGAAGCTTAAGTGTTTGGAGGAGGTTGAATCCAGAGAACAGGAAAGGATGCTGGGCCCTTTTGCATGTTGTTTTTCTCACCAAGAATGTAATTCTCTAAGCTATGTGTGAGAGTGATGTGATTGAAAATGCAATTCAGAAAGCATGTAGGAAACAGGCAGGCAAGGCCGGCGCTTGAGTCCTTATGACTGTACACTCACTTCCTGCCCTTCACAAGGCTGCCCAGGAGCTCATCCCTCTACTCTGTACAACACTGCTACAGAGCAGGCACTACTACTTTTATACTTTATACAGGAGAGAAGAGAAAACCTCACATTTGCTCAGAATCATCCAGTTAGGGCGTGGAGACACCCTGATTAGCCATCAGGCGTGCTAATCCCAGAACAAACTGCGAGTGCATCTGCACCTTAGGTTCAACTTCCAGCTCATTCTCAGGACAGCTGTGGACACGCACAGTGCCACACATGCTTGTGAAACAGTGAAGCGGAGGCACTCACTTTTGAAGCTTAGAGAGATGGCACAGAAATGGGAAGACACAGGACATGGGGACAGAGGGCAGTCTGTGGTGACAGTCCAGTGTGGTCACTTCCTACAGTGAGAAAGACATGAAGGAAACAGGGAGCCTGCGGGCATCTTCCTCCTTTACATGCTTCCTGCTTATTTTATTTTGTAGGTGCTAGGGATAGACCCCAGGACCCTGTTAGATTAAACCCATGCTCTAAGGACGGGATAAACACAAGCCCCTCTAGACACTCAAGACTTTTTATTCATCTCAGTCAGCAGCAAACCTCGCCAGGCTCAGGGGTCTTGGGAAGAACAGTACTCAGGGTCTGATAATTTTACACTTGTTCAAAAGACTGAACTTTAGGTTTATGAGAAATCCCCAGGATATAATGGTTATTTTTGCCTCATCCCATCAGTTTTTGCACTTTGGTGGAATGGAAAGACTGAAGGAGAAAACTCCTCTGACCACTGAGGCCAACTGTGGGCTTCCTGTCTGGAGTAATTATAAAAAGCTGGGTCCTCTTGGTCTTGACTCTTACACCAGTGTCCTTTCCTGTTGTGCTAAACACCATAGCAAAAACACCCTGAAGAAAATGGGGTTCATTTGGATCACAAGTCCAGGTTATAGTCCATCAATACTGATGTACCAAGGCTGTAGGAACCTGAAGCAACTGGCCACGTCATAGCCACAGCCAAGAGCAAAGAAGAATGCGTTAGCTAATACTTGGATGCTTGTGTTCAAATTACTTTCTTATTTTTCATAAAGTTGAGGTTCTAAGCACAGGACTGGCAATATCTACTTTCAGCTGGGACTTGCCATATCAATTAACATAATTAAGACAATCACCACACTCATAGGGCCATGGATCTCTTCTCAAGTGAGTCTAGACTGTGCTAAGTTAAGCTGGCAGTCATTCGACCAAAATTCAGGCAAGAAAGATAGAGCCTTTGTATCCAAGTAAAAATAAAGTCTTCTGAAATACCATATGCAAATTTGAAAGCATATAGTCAAAAGTAAACTGTAGAAAATCCTCTGCATTAGAAAAGGAGATAAAACAGACAACTTACATAACTTAAAATGAAAAACACCCTAAAAAATTTGGTTTTTTAGAAAAAACCAATTACCTTAAATTTAACCAGCTTTAAAACAACTGAACCAAATGGTATCTTTGTCTCCGTTACTGGGAACCTGAAGTGGACTCTGATAAACACTGCACAATTCACAAGGTTTCACGGTTGCATAGAACTGAGCCGTGCAAAAGGACAGCGTCCCAAGTGCTTACCTGCTGGCTGTTTTCACGGAGCAGTTTTTCTTGTGTCCTCTTTCCGCTCGGCTATCTCTCAGAAGCTGGTGCTATACAAAGTGCCAAGACAAAGTATAGAAACAAAAATATTTCCGTTATATTATTTTTCAAGGAGGAAAATACTTTGTAATCGAAGGGACACTGATATGCCCCATTACATGACTTTCTTGCCACTCTCTGCTAATGATACTGCTGTCACTGGTGCAAAGATGCTAGTCAGGGGTGGTAAGCACGAGGCAATCTGCCCTTGACAGCTGCACTGACTGATTCCTAGCCAGTTCACACACGGTGTAGAGCACCAAGCTCAGGTGTGGCCTCTTCTTCTCTAGTGCAAGTGCAAGGATAATAGCCTGTCTTGTCTAAAGCTTTGCTTGTTAAGCTCAGCTGCCATAGTTTTGAGGCAGATATGAAAGCACTGATACGGTTTCTTATATATGTAATACATACATACCATAGCAGAAAAAAACACCAAAAAATTACTCTAAAAAATTACTACCTTGGAGCTATACATATACACAAGTAACTTCCTCCAAATGCCTAGCCGTTCATGTCCTTTTATATGTGCTTTACTCCAATTAACTGGAAACAAAGTAGATGAAAAAAAAAAAAAACCCAGCCAAATACTTTTCACTATGTGCTCAATCAAAGCTTAATTTACTTTTATATATGATGACTACGAATCTAAAAGGCTTTGCTATATCAGAAATCAATCTGAGGAGAAAAAGAAGTCTCACAGGTGCTAACCCAGGATGGACTTGAGCTCCAGCAAACCCTCTAGCCTCTGTCTCAGTGACAGTGCCCTCACATGTGAACTGTGACCTTAGACAGAGCCCCTTACTTTTCTGAGGACCAGTCTCCTCCTGTGAGACAGAAACCTTGACACTCAACTGTCAGGCTGTGGGGTTAGGAAGAAGCAGGCAGGGCTTAGCACCGGGAGACTGAGTGGAAACTGCCAGTGCTGAGAAGATGGCCGGAGGTGTGAAGATGCTTACAGTTAAGGAACCTGGCTGGCAGTGTGAACTGCATGAGAGGACCAGCAGCTTCTGATGAAAGGGAATGACTCTCAACCTTTCCACAACACCACTAAGAACTGAGTGCTAATCTGGCCACTTTCTAGACATCCCAGACTTTTAGTTGAGTCCTGAGTATGCAGGGATTTGTTAGCACCATCCTGGTCCAGACCATGGTCATCTCATTGTCACAGCCTCCTGGACGGTCTCCCTGTCTGCAGCCATGCTCTGATCCAGGCCACTCTGAGCTATGAGCTTTCTTAAAGGAGTCTAATTTTATTACACTTGAAATAAAATTCAACATCTTGTGTGAGGCTATCACAGCCTTTCATAATTTGATTACCTCTCTCCATGAATAAGCACTGTACTCCCTCCTCCGTGGTCTGACCTCTTTACTTGTTCACATTCCAGCCACACTGAACACTTGACTTTGGGATATGGACCGTGCCCTTGCTCACAGTGGCTCTTTGCTTCAGTTTTTCAATTTATCTGCATCTCTAGGGCTTAGACTGTTCTGGAACATCTTCAGTGTTCAATAAATGTTTGTTGAATGAATGAACAAATGAATGAATAAATGAGGCAATGAAATATGGTGTGAGATCTGGTAATGATATGTACCTGAAGCCATAGCTCATTATGGCTACTTACAGAAAATAGTGACCGTTTATCTTAAGTCCATTAATCTGAAAGTGTTTCAATTTAGAAATACTTCATACCATGAACACTAAATTGGTTCTGAAAATAAAAAATTTAATTGCTTTGGCATTTCTAAGTTTAGTACCTTCATGTCTATAAACCAACATAGGTGACACAGATAGCTCATGGTGAGAAGACAAAATCCACCCCATTATCTCCAATTCATGGTCGTTAGCTCTTCTCATTTTAATAAAAAAGTTACTGGGGCTTGTGTTAAAACAGTTCAAACACTTACAAAGAGCAGTAAGAAAAATTCTACAACTTAGATTTGAAACTGCAACCATGATGTGAGAGGCTGTGCCAATCTGGTCTGGGAGGACTTCAGCCCCTATCTGAAAACCCCTTTGAGGACAAAGGAGATGATAGTGATTCTGAACTTTGTTCTACTTCTTCTGAATAGATCCATACAGAATGTGTGCTCATTCTACAATTCATGGTTTGATGGGTCTTGTATAAAAAGGCAAATACTGCAATAATGCACATAAAGACTCCATTATGAAACAATCTCGGTTTATCAATAAAATCACAAATCAAGGTCAGCAATGATTTTGAAATGAAGTTCAGATAAAAAATGATTTGGATGCCTGAGCCATGAGCAAGTTAGCGCATGTTTTTCAGTATTGGGAGAGCAGAGAGGAATCTAGAGAGTGCCTAGCAACACGCGTGTGTCTGCAGACTGTCTTAAGAAAAGGCAGGAGGCTGCAAACCCACGGTAGAGCAGCTGCCAGGGCTGCTGATGTGCCTGGAGAGCTCACCCTTCCCATGGGCACTGTGCTGCACGGTGGGCACCTATCAGCGTTACACAGAAGGGTAATCTAGGGTCATGACTCAGCAGTGTCACCTCGGTTACGGACAGAGCTTCTGGGTACGTGTGAGCGCTCCTCACCTTCAGGCTTTGTATGGGGAGACTGAGACATACGGAGGTGCAGTATGTCTAACCCCCGTCAGGTCAGCCACCTCATGCAGGCAGACATTGGAAAGAGGCTCACGTGAGGGCAGCACGGAATGCAACAAGTAAAACCATGACACCCAATCTTAGAGCTGACGGAATCAACCAGGAAGACAAAAAGGTTACTTACTGCTCACGGCTTCAATGTGCAGAGAAGGGGAATAAGGAATTTCTGGACTATCTGTGTTTCTACATGACTATTAAGTCCCAGATGAAAAGGAAGACACCTGCTCCTCCTTGCTGCTGCCTCAGAGTGTGACTGGCCAGAAGCACCCCTGCTGACACACACCCCTCCTGGAACCCCTGAGTATCTGAAAAACTATTTCAAGTCTCCTCAGAGTTGGCCTTCTAGTGCCCTCAACATTAAAGAAAGAACGAAATAATATCTAAACCATGATCAATGACTCATTAAGGTACTTGTAAACTTAGTCAAAATGTCAAGCTATAAGATGCTCAAGGAGGCAAAGCCTCAGATTTTAAATGCTCATGCAGAAGCAGACACACACACACACAAGATATACACAAGCACAAATATAGAGACATACATACCACAAACACACAGTGACACACAGATGTCCCCTCTTTCTTACCTGGGTGATCCCTGCTTACCTACACAGCTACCAATAGTCATTGCCTCCATGCTCAGACTATCAATGTCTGCATGGAAAAATGATGCTGCTTTCTACAAATACCCTTTCCTGTAAAAGTAGCTGTATTTTAGCTACTTTTAGCTCTTACAGTACTCCTGTAAGAGTATCTGACAGATAACAAGATGACAGGCTAAGTTACGTCCTAAGTGAGACAGAAGCATAATAATGCTATAGCACGCAAATGGAAGTAAGATGAAGCAATAAAGAAAGAAAGGAATGGGAAAGTGGGGAAGTAGTGAGGTGAGGATTTCAAAGGAGTATTGGGTCAATATTATCATTACTTTATGTTGCTACATTGGAATAAGAAAAAAAGGTGACTGCAGGCAAGTCATTCATTCAACATTTAGTGGAGAATTTTCGAATTCTTCTGTTCACTGTACCACAGTTAGGACTATGTTGAACTGAGAAATGATTATGCTTCACAATGTAAATGCTTGCATTTGCCTATCTGCTTCCAGCTAACTGGTCCTCATTGTGCAGGCTCCATGACTGACTGTATGTACTTGCCGAAAATTATTTTGACACCCAGATCAATTCTTTCTGTGCTTTGGCAGTCACCTGCAGACATACACTGAGAGGTAAAACCAAGTCTCCTAGGTGAGTGACCCTATTCAGATGATGCTGTCCCATTCTCATACAGCGAATAAGTTGTTTTAGTGTGTATGTTCTTTTGAATTCAATGCTTTTGTATTTCTGTGGCTCAGGAAGTGTCTACTGTTTTTAAGCTCAAGGGCTGTGACGGCTAGAAAAAGAAAAGGGTGCCTGTGAAGACAGCCTTGCTCAGAAGCTCGTGCTATTGGGTAGAGCTTAATGGGTCAAAGGTTTGATACTGAATCAGAATCTCTCACTCTCCCTCTTCTTTTCCCTTCCCCCCTCTCTCTCTCTGACACACACACACACACACACACACACACACACACACACACACCCCATCACCACCATCACCAAGGTCACAAACTGACTGGCTGATGAAGACTTGGGACTATACTCCTGGAAGAAACTAGCTCTGTAATTCCTCTAAGATCACCGGTTCAGTATTAAGGAATTCAGTGTTTGAGTCTACTTACAGAGCCTAACTACCACAAATGAAAGCACTAATTAATAATTTATCCAGTCAGGACAAAAATGTGAAATGTATACCAAAGTTTAAGCAAAGGCCAAACTAAAAATTAGTCAAAAGAATTATGAAACTTAAAAAGTGAGGAAGAACTGGTAACCCCCGCTTTAGAAGCTGTGAGTGAAATTCACTTCCTCCTGTACAGAGCTGAGCCAGGGCCTCTTAGGGCTCTTACACTTCAGGCATGTTGTCCTAATGAAGCCATAGCTCCAAGAGTCCCATGAACTTCCAAACAGTGCTTTCCTTATAGATCACATGACCAAAGCTTAACTCTATCATTCAGAAGAGCAAAAGCCCCCACAAGTAGTCAAACACTAAATTTTCAGATTTATCACAATGTAACTTCTACATAATCTTAGCACATCTTAAAGCAACAATACACCCAAGTGCAAGGAAGACTCCTTACTCATTTGTAAAGACAATCGAAGAGAACGCCCAGTTCCTGCCAATCCAACTACTCACTGAGCACTGCATGTATGTCACAAAGCTGGCTTAGAACACCCACCGAGACATACATCAAACCCTCTAGAAATGACTGCCTCCTATTCACCTCAATAAAACAACCTGCACCTCCTGATCTTACGGGCTTTCATTTATGTGTTGACTTGGATTTCTGAGACAATTTCTCCTGCCAGCCAGGCTGGCCTTGAGGAATAGCCCCACTATATGGATGAGGATGCTCAACTTCTGATCCTCTCATCTTCATCTCCCAGAAGATGACTACCTAGACTACCTACAAGCACACACTGCCACAGCCAGTATTTCCTAGTACAGTCTGACATGTGACTCACTCCACAGAGGTAACCTGTGTGACTCGGACAGTGGCAGTGGGAGGATCTTAGATGCCTGTGTGACTCGGACAGTGGCAGTGGGAGGATCTTAGATGCCTGCTGAAGTCAGCATTAAGACCCAGCACTATTAACTCCTATTGTTTTTTTGTTTGTTTGTTTTGTTTTTTTGAAGTGTGGATGGGTGGGGGGTTCAAGACAGGGTTTCTCTGTCCTAGACTGTCTCTGTAGCCCAGGCTGGTCTCTAATGCACAAAGATCCGCCTGCCTCTGCCTCCCCAATTAACTCTTTTAAAATAAGTTGCTTTCTCTATAGACTGACTGTTTATCCTGAGGGAGACAGCATTGAAAGAAACATTCCTTACCTGGCCGTGCTCTGTCCTAGCCCCAGCGCTAAACCAGTGGCTGTGGAGAGAAGAAGAGCTGTGAGCTGGCCTCTCCCAGAAGCACTTGCTCTCCCATGAACCTAAGCATATGCTATAAGGAATTTGTTCACACCAGCAACAGAACCTTACATACGCTTTATTTTAATGGATATTTCATGTAATTCTAGACTTACACCAATTTTGACAGGAATGTAAGAGCGCTCATAACCCAGTAATTTTCAATTTAATAAGCAAATGGAGTTAGAATTACATTTCCATTTAATTATGTTAACATAAACTGCTGGGACTGTGTTCATTTTACAAATCAATTCTGGTTATAAAATCTACAAATGCTATCATTTGCCACAACTTAATTATAGCATCATTATGCCAAATTATGACCTTTTGATTGTTGGAGTTATTGAAAAAGAGTTGAAAATACAAGAATATCCTATTCTGCAGCTCTGCACTCAAAACCAAAACAAAAAGTCCCAGAGAGGAATCCTAGACCCTCCACAGACGGTACTTTGGATACAGTCCTCTCACAGCTACAGCAATCAAGATTTTGGATCAAAGTAAGTTCCACAGTGGTGAAGATACAGTGGCCTCACAGGCAAAACTTCGTGTTGCTCTGCTGCCAGGCCCAGTCCGAGTCCCCCAGACTCTTCATAGATCCTCATCACGCTTGTCAGTGGGTGTTCTTATTAGCTACACGCCCAGAGCTCCAGCAGCACACAGCAAATATCAAGAACTAGAAACTGGAGGTGTTGAAAACAGAATTACAGGGAAGGCTAGTTCCTATATGTGCCATTTAGCATTACAAGAAACAGCAGCATCTTTATGTTCTACAGTCTATTTAGAGACATCACATGCATTGCTCACCCTCACAAAAACCTCAGTTCCTGATGTGGACGTGAGGCTCTGGATTTCCTTACCAAAGTATGCTAGCAGCACACCATGGTACAGAAGGACAGGGGAGACTTAACTGACTGGCACACCACTGGGGCCTCTCAGACCCCACTCTCTAGCTGCTGGGGCAGCCAGCTGGGAGTGAGCAGCCTGCACAGGGCAGAGCTTGTATGCACCTCCTTCAGCATTTCTCCAACATCATCATGGCTGCTGGTGTTCCCTGGCAGGGCAGAAGCCATGCTCCTGTGAGAACAGATGTGTAACTGGTGTTAGTGTGCTAAACTGGCTTAGCGCCCAGCTGGAAGCAAAACTGCAAGTGTTCCACTGACAGCTTGACCGAGACCTCCTTTCTGCTGTGGACTGTGTTAAAGCACTGTATTTAAAGATCAAATGCACACCACAGTTAAATGCGCCTCGTTTCATAAAAGGATTCAAAACAGCAGTCATTTGTTTGTGCCATCTCTCCCAACTCCAAAGCTCAGTCTAGAAAAACAAGAGCTTTTGGTTTTTTCCTTTTCAAAAACATGCTCAATTTTATAAGAACACGGCATCATGGTGGTGTGTAAATGATGTTAGCGACTGAGTTCCGATTATCGTAAATTTACTCTTCACTAGCTCCTGATGCTCTCGACTTTAAGCAGACATTAAGAGTATGGTGTTCTAAAGTGGCCGCTTCCTGACAAAACGTGGGCTCCTATTCTTTCACAGCTGGCACTGACCTATCTTCTTCTCTGCTGTTTTCCTACATTCCTTCCGTCTCCTTTAAATGAAGAGTCACATCTTTGTCACTGATAAAGATGTGCTCTTCATCAGTGATAATGGGGGGAGGGGAGATGTCCAACGCCCACACTATTTTAAGTGTTTCGCTTTTCTAGGGAACTTTGAGAGGCATGAAATGGTTTTCTGTGGTGCTTCCTGAACCTACATCCCTATCTGCTGACTCAGTTGCTGTTCTTTGGGTCTGAAAAACTGGTTGAAGCCTCTACTATGCCCTCTCCCTCAACATATTTGTATTTTCTGCCTTCATAGGATTTGGGTAAGAATACTAAAAATACATTTTTCTAGAGGCAAAAATCCTAAGAGGCAGTTTGACCATTGAGGACACTGGGAGAAGTTTTAAGAACTTTGTGTAGAATTTAGAGTGTAGGGAAATGTAATCTGGCAGGGTCTGGAGGGGTCACTGGGGGACTTTCGCACAAGTTCTAGGAGGTAGGGTGGGAGGGACTGAGATTACCATGCAGGGGTGGACATCAAAGGAAGAGGCTATGCCGTAAACAGGCTTAGAGGAGGGAAAGAAGAGAAGAGGGGAAATGACAGACTAAAAGACAGGTGCTAGAGCCAATAATGGACAAAAGTTTATTTCCTCTAATAAACAAAACTGTAAGAAAGGGAGGAAAAGGAAAGAGTGACTAAGTTCATCTAATGAATCTTTATGAACAAAGGCTATGAACAAGAAATGAAAGAGCCAGGAGAATATTAGGAAACCAAAATTCCAGAAGCCAGGAATTCTGAATGGTTTTGCTTCTGAGTAATCAGGGAAGTACTTTTGGATCTGAGTAGCATGCCAGCAAAACTCACTGGTCAAGTGGGCAGCAAACCTTTGCCAACCGCTGGCAAGTACAGTTCATGCAAATCTCTCTGCAGTGCCGTGGTCTCAGGAGTACCCCACAAGCTAGACAGTTAGCACGGAACCCCCAAATTCTCAGAGACAGCTGCTCTGCAAACAGACAGGCTCAGACAGAGGAAGTCAGCTGACAAAGATTTCGTAAGTGAGTGATAGTGGAGTTCAAAGGTCAGTGTTCTGATTCTGAAGCACGGTCTCCATACACCATACCTGTGGTTCCCAACGCATGTAGCAAACTGACGCCAAGAGAATGAGCAATTCAAGTGTCTAGGCCTCCAATGAACAAGGGCAAGTAAAGAGAGGTAGGTAGCATGTGGCTGTCTAGCAAGGAAGAAGCATCCCAGAGGCACTGGTGTTGTAGGGAAGGGTGGCCTGTGTACACCCTGCAGACACAAGGGGCAACAGCAGCTAGTCTACCTCACATTGGCAGATTTGGAGGCCTCCTTTTCCTCCTCTTCAGCACCTTTGCCCACATCCATTTCCTTTCAAAAATTAGGTTCAGATACCAGGATATTTACTTGCCCTGGGAAAGGGAACTGGAGTTCCTTGAGAGAGGGACAGGATTAAGAGCAACAGTCACAGCAATGGCATCAGTGAAAACTAGGGAAGAAGCAGTTATCAGGAGCCGTAGCCGGCGACCCGCTGCTTCTAAGGAATGCTCGCTGCTGGGAGCCTTACCCTGGGCCACACACAAGTCTGGCCAGGCAGCTCTCATCACAACCCTGTCACATCTCCACTGCTCACAAGCGTGCCAAGGCTGGCACACACTGGACTGACAATTCAAACAGAATGTCTGACTCTGGGCCCTGTGTTCTTAGCCAACCTTGCCTTTACTGCTTCAATTTATGTACTTCATAGAGATGTATCAGTTGCTCTAATTTACTGTCCAGTTAAAATTTTAACTCAGTGCATAACGACACATGTACTTTCATGCAATTGCACATGCATGTGCCTATGCACTGATGGGTACGGTCTGTGCCCACGATGCACACAGTGACATGTCTGTCTTGCTCTCTGCTGCCTGAGGAGGGCAGCCCTCAGAGGTGTCCTAGAAGAGTGCGAAAGGGCATGACTTGAAATGGTGGGCAGGGCTTGATCAATCAGAGATGCCATGTTTGTTCTCTATGAAGGCATTGCTCCTTCATTAAATTTTTTCTGTGATACAAAACTCTAAAACTATACACAGAAGGCTCTTTAAAAACATTACATATTTGGAGTCTGGGTTCCTTACTTATCAACAAAAATAACACTGGGGACTGGCAGGATGCTCAGCAAGTCAGGTCCTTTGTATGAAAGCTTCGCTCTCTAAGATCAACTTCTGAAACCAAGCTAAAGCAGAAGAGAAATGATTCCACTAAGTTGTCCTCTCTTCTCCACGTTTGGACATGGCATGTGCACACGCACACAAGTACCATCCACATACAATAATAATAATGATGATGATGATAGTAATAATAATAATAATAATAATAATAATAATAATAATAATAATGTAAAAATAAAGATCTTTCTCAGGACCGGGAGGCTTAAACATAAATTCTCATCTCCCATACAGAAGGCACTTGAAATCAATATTAATGTACTTTTCCCTGCAGTATACTGTGGGCTACAGAAATGTGTGGCTTCATTCTGCAAACCTTGGAACCTTCAGTGTTCACAGGAGAATTAATATGACTGGAGCTCCCTACAAAATTCCCAGAGGGCCTGCATGTCACAAAACACACCGGAGATGCCTAAGATACTTGTTTCTTAATTGATTTTTGGTCAAGCAGAGTTATAGTATGTAACTCTGGAAGAGTCAAATCACCTATAAAATGGAGAAAAAAACATCTGCTTTGGTCATTCAGAGAGTAAAAACATTAAAATGACACACCTGAAAATGTTCTGAAAAAGAGAACCTGTTACTATGCAAAACTATACTGACATGATTATTTTGAGGTGCTTTCCAGCAGAGATGGCACAGTGCTCTGTAAACACCTTACATAAGGAGGCTGCCTCACTTACTCCACCCACAACTAAAATGGAGACACATCAGCTCATGACTCACCATGGTGACCATGCATAAATAAAAGATTGAACTGATTCAGCATATTGTATAGACCTCAACCTGCAGTTAAAGACATTTCTCCAATAATACAATAAATGCTATATTTAAAAGTGAAAAACTATTCCCAATGAACATAACCTTCAGTCAAGGCAAATCTTGCTTTTTAAAGCAAGCTTGATATTTACACAAAAGATAAAATGAGTGAATATTTGCTTTATGAAAGAATTCATTTTAAGACTGTAATGAGTTATCTGTGCATTTTTAAAAAGTTCATTCTATATACAGCTTTGGAAGTAGATATATTTTATATAAAAATAAAAGCAGAATATGAATATCAATTAAAAAAATCAATTAATAAATCATATTTATCTCTTTAAGATTAAGTATCTTACAAGTAGTTAAGAAAAGTTAGAGAGTAGATAAAAGCCTACAACATTTTTTGGTTTTCAAGATGGGATCA